TTTGAGATTTTTTTTTCTTCAGTGTGTGGTTTTTTTTTTTTTTTTTTTTTCCCCTCTTGAAACCAGTCTTGGTTCACTATATGGTTGGCTTCTTTCAGCCAAAGCAAGCAGTTTATAGGCAGATGGAGATTTGCTTTTTGTTTGTCGAGGGCATGCTACCACCAGGCTTGGAGCCTGTGGTTACTTAAGCAAGGCAAAGCAAATACTTAAAGCTGTTAATATTAGGGATGCACCGATATATATTGGCCACCATAACATATCGGCCGAAAATGGCACTTCTGGCTAAATGCCGAAAGTGCTATTTTTGTGCCGATACAGCGACGCATCCCTGCTTTCTTTGAGAGAAAGTGTCACAGGTGCCAGAGCGCTGCGGGAGGTGAGCGGCCGGCGTCTCTCCTCCCACACTGCTTAGCCTCCTGTCACAGTCTGGCAGAGCGGTGTGTGGGCGAATACAGCCAGCGCTGTCACAGGAGGCCGAGCTCTCCTCCCTGCACCACTCGCTCAGCCTCCTGTGACAGCTGTCAGGATGGAGAGCCAGTGCAAATTGTACATAATTGATGACATAGTATGTTTACTATAGCCTCAATTATGAATTAATGGGAAGTGATCTACATCACCTGTTCGTTCATGATTGTGGTTATAGTAAACCTACGATCTCCAAGTTATGAATGAACAGGAACACTCAGTATAGGATTCCTGTTCATTGATAACTGGGGCTGCAGAAAAAGAGATTGAGGACTTATCTATTTTAAAAGGGAAATATCAGATTTCTGTTAGACACCTAATATTTCCCTCAAGCCCCTAAAAGTAAAGTATAAAAATACTTAATAAAAAATAAACAAATATTGAAAAAATAAAATAACTTTCGGTTTCGGCCTGATCATTTTTTTTTTTTTTTTTTTTGGTTTCGGTTTTGAAATTTCCATTTTGGTGCACCTCTAGTTAATATAATTAAAAATATGTGCAGTGCCCTGGTTAGTGGCCAGTTTTTATAGCCCAGTTAGGTTACACAGAGTTTCAGCTTCTTGCTTTCTTTTATTATAGCTGCCATTATTAGCTGTGGTTCAGGACACTGAACTATTTCACTACTGAACTACTGAAATATTTCTGATTTAAAGAGCAATGGCTTTATGTCAATAATGCAGATGTCCAACTAAAGTCTTAAAGGGAATCTGTCACCATAGTATATGGGAGCTGCCATTGCTAAACTTTGATATTAAAACAAAGTTCCAGTAACAAACCCAGAGAGTTGGCAATTTTAAGCTTAGATATTGATATTTGAAGTAGAATAGTGGAATGACACCAGGCAGATCTTCAAGGAGTAGTTTTTTTTTGCTTGCCAGGAACAAGCAACGATTCAGGAGTGTTCAAACAATATGGGCTCCCAGTACCTATTTTATAAGGATTTAAACAAATGAACCCTGTGTGTTACCTTGAGTTATCTCCAAAAATTTGAGGAAAATGGCACCCTGTACTTGTATTAGATGGGTCATCTTGTCTTGATGAGACTACATCACTCAAGGTCAGAGGGCAGCTATTTTTGCATTGACACTATTCCCTAAGCCAAGGTTGGAAAATGTGTTTTGAATTTGTCATTATACTCTTGTTACATTGATCTACAAAGTCTAAATGCCCTGCATGAACTCTAGTTACCTTAACCTACAAAGCTAAATGTTCCACATGTTAATAGGGCATTAAATATAAATACAGTAATAAGTTTACTTTCTCACTATCCTCTACAATACATTACTAAAAAAGTAGATGATTCATCTCAAATGTATCTATTTTATGTGAAATGCTCTGCAAGGCTAAAACTTTCAGTAACTTAACTATTATAATATTGATTTTGGTGTTTATTGGTGGCATAATGAGCAAGTTACAATTGGGTCATATGGCTTTTTAGATGACCTAATGAGCTGTGACAGAATCTATGTAGCATTTGATGGGATGAACAGAGGTTTAGTTACTGTTTTTGGTTGAGGTGCAGCTAGTGCTTTGGCATATGATATGGTCAACCTAAGGAGCTATGGCTAAGTGTCCATATATTTAGTGTAGTGCAGATCTGTTTTGGCATAGAGGTTTCAGTGTTGGCTCTTTATGTTGAACTAAGACAAGTGCCAGGTAGATCCTGTGCTGCTTTGATATGTCTCAGGATAGATGCTGTGGTACAATTTTTACATTCAGAGCTTGCTAAACTAAAACTAGAAGCTGATGGTCTTTTATCAGGGTAATATAGGCAATGTGGTGAACTATGGCTTGATTGGACTAAACAAGAAGTATTTCAGATCTTAGTGCAGCTAATCACTGACTTCATGATAAACTGGTGACTTTGGGACTAGCAAAGGCAAACCGGTGTTTAATCCTCGGGGATAACCTGAAAGGTGACATTGTGGCCTTTTCAAAAATTGGTGCTTTAAAGGAGACCTATGAGGTGAGTGATTTTTCACTCATCCCCATAGTTGGAGCCGACCTGTGACAAGGAAGCTGTCACAGGTCGGCTCTATCGATCGGGATGTGTGCAGAAACATGCAGCCGATCCACTCCCCAATAGTCTCCCTGCAGTGAGTGATGACTCGGTCACCGCTCCCTGCAGGGTTTCCCCCTCCTCTCCAATCCTCTAGCGCTGAGTGGAGGAACGAACAGGGGAGGGGTGGGCACAGCTAGGTCGGCAGAGCCAGCTGTCACTCACGCAGCTGGGTGGATCTCAATGGTATTGTCGGGATCCATCCCGGCTGCGGCGCTCCCAGTATATCGCGGGCAATAGCCCGCTACATACTGAGCTTTGGGTCACGGGAGGAGTTTAGTATATGTCCTGCCGTGACCCTAAAAGGAACTATGGGAAAAAACACTTACCCCATAGTTCTCAAGTGTTTTAATATGACGTTTTATGTGCAGGAGATCAATGTTTACTTGTCTACAGTGAAGCACCTTGCTTGTCCTTGATCCATTTTCTTCCCCCAGTGGCTGCCAAACTCCTTCCTACATAAGGCAGGTGCTTCAGGCTTTGCATTTTCTTTATTTGCATGGTGAGTCTAGCTGGAAAGACACAAACCCCAGTTCATAAATTTAAATAAAACCTCAAATGCTCCAAATCCTTGAAATAAAGTTGATTCAAGAGAATGCAAAAAAAACAACAAAACTAACAAAGTATAGTGGAACTTGGGAGCATGCGTCACTGGAAAACATCACCCTCATTTTCAAACCTTAACTGAACAAACTGAGGAGAGAAGCTGATTAGTTGCCATTGGCAACTGCTCCAGATTTTGTCTGCTCCAGTTTTGAAAAATTCCTACCCGGGTGTCTTCCCGCCTGGGATGTAAAAAGGGAAGTGGCGTTTATGTTGAACTAAGACAAGTGCCAGGTAGATCCTGTGCTGCTTTGATATGTCTCAGGATAGATGCTGTGGTACAATTTTTACATTCAGAGCTTGCTAAACTAAAACTAGAAGCTGATGGTCTTTTATCAGGGTAATATAGGCAATGTGGTGAACTATGGCTTGATTGGACTAAACAAGAAGTATTTCAGATCTTAGTGCAGCTAATCACTGACTTCATGATAAACTGGTGACTTTGGGACTAGCAAAGGCAAACCGGTGTTTAATCCTCGGGGATAACCTGAAAGGTGACATTGTGGCCTTTTCAAAAATTGGTGCTTTAAAGGAGACCTATGAGGTGAGTGATTTTTCACTCATCCCCATAGTTGGAGCCGACCTGTGACAAGGAAGCTGTCACAGGTCGGCTCTATCGATCGGGATGTGTGCAGAAACATGCAGCCGATCCACTCCCCAATAGTCTCCCTGCAGTGAGTGATGACTCGGTCACCGCTCCCTGCAGGGTTTCCCCCTCCTCTCCAATCCTCTAGCGCTGAGTGGAGGAACGAACAGGGGAGGGGTGGGCACAGCTAGGTCGGCAGAGCCAGCTGTCACTCACGCAGCTGGGTGGATCTCAATGGTATTGTCGGGATCCATCCCGGCTGCGGCGCTCCCAGTATATCGCGGGCAATAGCCCGCTACATACTGAGCTTTGGGTCACGGGAGGAGTTTAGTATATGTCCTGCCGTGACCCTAAAAGGAACTATGGGAAAAAACACTTACCCCATAGTTCTCAAGTGTTTTAATATGACGTTTTATGTGCAGGAGATCAATGTTTACTTGTCTACAGTGAAGCACCTTGCTTGTCCTTGATCCATTTTCTTCCCCCAGTGGCTGCCAAACTCCTTCCTACATAAGGCAGGTGCTTCAGGCTTTGCATTTTCTTTATTTGCATGGTGAGTCTAGCTGGAAAGACACAAACCCCAGTTCATAAATTTAAATAAAACCTCAAATGCTCCAAATCCTTGAAATAAAGTTGATTCAAGAGAATGCAAAAAAAACAACAAAACTAACAAAGTATAGTGGAACTTGGGAGCATGCGTCACTGGAAAACATCACCCTCATTTTCAAACCTTAACTGAACAAACTGAGGAGAGAAGCTGATTAGTTGCCATTGGCAACTGCTCCAGATTTTGTCTGCTCCAGTTTTGAAAAATTCCTACCCGGGTGTCTTCCCGCCTGGGATGTAAAAAGGGAAGTGGCGTTTTGTAGACTTTTTTTTTTTTTTTTTATAATATAAGGTCTCATTGAGAGGTGATGGTTACTCTATTGGGAGTGGAAGGTGGACACTCAAGGAACGTGAAGGAACAGTTAATTATCTTCACCCTTGCATGGTCACAAGTGGAATTCTATATACGAGATTATTATGACCACCCCATCAGCACTTCGTTGGGCCACAAGATGACTCCACGAGATGACTTTGTTGGGCCGCCTCATGACTCCACGAGATGTTGAAAGGTGATGCGAGGAATCTGACACTGCACTGTTGCCCTTCTGTTGTCTTGTACCCGTCTTGTACCCGTCTTGTACCAGTCTTGCCACTCTCCGTTCTGCCCTAACATTGACTAGTCGTTGATGGCCGAATTCTGCTGTTTTCCTGATACTCGCTCCATGGCTCCGAGCGCCAACAATCATCCCACGTTCAAAGGCTGTTAAATCGCGTTGTTTACCCGTATCTTCAGAAAAAAATCACTTCTACTGTCGTGGTAAACAACCTGCTTCCCTATTTATAATGGTCTGGCCCTCTGGCAACTTCAGCACGAAATTATAGCTAATTTGCCTACTAACGTCAGGTGGTCATAATAATCTGGCCACTCAGTGTATCTTATATGTACTATAAATCTATGACTGAAACAGACTATCATCTATTTAAATACACACTGTGGTTTGGTGTTTTGTCCACTTGAATGATCCTATTATGATACATTTTGTGAAGCACTTGAAGTTTGCTACAAGTAACATATCGCATAGCATATGATACATTAGTATATTGAATTGGATTAGATTTCTAGTTAAGACCACGGCACATTTTATGTTTATTTTGTTCACTTATATTCTGGTTTACTGAAATTAGTGCTTGCTGCTTAGTGATTAGCGGAGCATGATGCTTTGTACATACTGTATTTTAACTAATTATATTGGTGTTTTTTAGGCCGATATCTGGAGCATGGGTGTGCTTATGTATGCATTGATGTGTGGCTACCTTCCCTTTGATGATGACAATGTAATGGTGTTGTACAAGAAAATAATGGTAAGTTTCTTAACAGTATAGCAAGACATGTTAGTTGGCTTGAAAAGCTATATCCTGGTAAAGTACAGTTTTCAGGCAGTTTTTACAGTGGAATGCATTCAGGGAGCTGTCTAAGGGGGATTTATCAAGTAAAGTATCCATATGATCTAATAAAATGACACTAAACTCAGGAATTAAATCTTAAAAATACATTAAAGTACCTTTTAACAATACTTACCTTATTTTTGCTTCACTCAACTGTAGATCCTCAAAACATCTCTGAATTCATGCTGACACTGTCCTTCCTTCTGGAGGGTGGCTACTTTTGTTCCCCAGGGTCCCTGTATGTTTTTGTGTGTTGTAAAGTAAAAGTAACCACCGCTCCAAGCTCGCTCTCGTGATGGACTACAATCTCACTTTTAGTTTTATATTGAGATTGTAGTCTATCACGGGAGCGAGCTTGGAGCGGCGACTACTCTACATCACACACGGGGAGCCTGGGAAAACAAGCGTAGCCACCCTTCAGAAGGAAGGACAGTGTTGGCATCAATTCAGAGATGGTTTGAGGGGTCTAAAGCTGAGTGATGCACAAGATACATTTTTGTTAATACTTAAGGTACTTGAATGGATTTTTTAAGATTTTAACTTAGTTTAGTGTCACTATAATCCACTATAATTTGTATGTGTGACCATTCTTGCAATCCCAGCCTATCGATCCTTGCCTGGAAAAAACAAAAAACCTTTTGCACCCATCATACCCATGAAGTGCATGTTCTGCAAGTACAGAAACATTCCTATTGATCATGAAATCAAGAGATAAGGAAAGGTGCAAGTAGCAGGGTGAAATCACTGCTCCTCCATTTATACAGCTCGGCAAGTGTTACTGGCAGAATTACTAGGTGAAATGTGCAAAACCAAAAAAAAGTTACCAAATGGGTACGAACTTACCTGTGTCTCCGCTGCTCACTCCCGTCTGAAGATTCTCCGGCCGGCGCATGTGCAGTTGAGAATTCGGCCAGGTGAAGAGGAGAGCTATGGTAAATCAGTGCACGCAGCCCAGCAGCATGCATGAGCATAGACTCCGTGGGACACAGAAGACACAATAAACGGTGCTGGCTCAGACTGGCACCAACGCTGGAGGGATGCCTGAAAACTACTGGGATCAAGAGGCATCATTTAAGCCGACGCGTGATCGTTTCATTGTCACACGTCGGCTCGAACTATGAGGTTAAGTGAAAATCACTCGCCTCATAGTTCTCCTTTTATAAGGCGTGTATTTTAAATCTGCATTGTATTATTAAATTGACCTGTTTGCAGTTTCACAAAGCTGTTTTTATCTTGCCTTTTGCAGAGGGGAAAATATGATATCCCAAGATGGCTTTCTCCTGGCAGTGTGTTACTTCTCAGCCAAATGCTTCAGGTATGTATTTTTCTGTAGAGACTTATTGTTCCTATTGTCTTGTAGTAATTCTAGCTATGGTCAAATACATTCTTGTGCAAAGTTGGCAAGTTTTTTCTCAAATGCTTTGCCAGCAGTTTTTCATAATTTCTTTAATTGACACGGGATGTACTTCAGATACATAAGGTTATGCTCCTGCCTCCAGGTGATTGGGCACTGGCAAAAACAGCTGTAATGACAGCCTAGTATAACCCCTCTCTCTCCCAACATGCTTCAGTTTTTTTTGCTAATATCCTAGGAGAACGGATGATTACTTTCGGCCCTAAGGGAAACAACTTTTTTATTTTGCTTATTCATGACTTTTTTTTTTTTCTCTTCTACCAAGATTCTTCACTAATGATGAGGCTGAGCTTGGTGTGAACCCAGTTCAAAACTCTGACTGCCACCCCCTACTCCCATCCCATCTTTCCCATCCCTTTTGTGATGTATACCCCAACTGATTGGAAGGAAGGGGTGGCGATCAGAGTTTTGGGCAAACTGGGTTCACACCAAGCCCAGCCTCATCTCTATACTTCAGTTGGTGCAGGGCCACTGAGGTTTACCTTGCAGCTTTTTGGATAGGCTAATCCTCAGTATAGCCATGGAGGCCGTACACTGATCCACATTGAGGAAGAAGAGTCCGGCTTCTAATGTGTCCTCTGGACATTACTGTAGACCCTTTCCTACACTTCTTTCAAAATTACCCCGTTTTGGAAAGCAGACACACCAAAATATTTGATAAGAGGCATAGCAAGTCTTTTTGAGGATTTCATTTTTTGTAAGGAAAGAAAAAAATTCTAAGCAACATTTACATTTTAATAAGAGTTCTCAAACACAGTATGGGTATTCTCACAAGCAGTAGTAAAATGTGCTCTTGGGTGTAAATTCTGAGTATGGGGATACTACATATGTGGGACTTTAATGTTTGGAATGCTTATGCAACTCGCATATCTCTAGTTCATCACACAAATTAAGCAATGCTGTACTTTAAACAGTGTCTTCAATAGAGCAAAAAAGAAGTATCGATAATAAAGCAGTTCTAATGTGCATAATTATTCATCACTGGAAACACAGGCGCTGACTGATCCGCAAACTGGAAACTCCAAATTCTAAGATGCAACCAATGCAAAAAACCCTCACCTGTGCAGTCTAAGGCCCCATTCACACGTTTGAATGGGGTTGGATTGCGGAGTCTCACAAATTCCTCTGTAGCAGAGCATTTCATGGCATTGTATGTCTGCCCAGGCAGTTCTGTCTCTACAGGCTCTTAGCCAAGGGTTAACACAGCCCTATAGCTGTTGTGAACGAAGTCCCATGAGGCATTACAAGACTGACAGTTACAGGCATGACTCTCAGTGGCAGAGGCATGTTGGGGATTTGTAGCTAAAGCACACCTGGAGGGCCGGAGTTGCCCACCCCTGCTCTTAGCAGTCAGAGGAAGCAGTGCCTCTCACACTGCATACATACAGCTAATGTCTTAAAATTGGGGTGAGAGATGTTGTTTTCACTAATGTGCTGCTCACTGGTTCCTTCTTTGCGGATCTGTGTTCCTCCACCTTTTTTTTAGCAGCTTCTTCAATATTCCCCCCACCAGTCATAAGGGGGTCCAGATCTGACATGAGGAAACATAACCCTGCTCAACGACCAAGATGTCTACCCCTACACAGACAGTGTGGAACAAGTCAATAATGGGAAAATGATCAGCAGCAGGGAGCCTACAAGCAATACTCTCTGTGGTCAACTAATTGCACATGTTTAAATTTTCTTTACAAGGCAAATTCTCAAGTTGCCGTTTTGCATTTAAGAGTATTTTGTACAATTAATCTATTAAGTCCTGTCAGTGACTTATTGTCCTAATATCAGCTATTTTGTGAATTATGTTTTAGAGTGGTGGGCAGCATTCTTATAAGTTGTATAGCACTTTAGAGCTGGACAGGATGCACCATTCACATGCAATGTCCAACCTTCTAGTGAAGATGTTGCTAAACAAGGACTCCGCATGAAAGTAGGAAAGGTCAGCTGATTTGTTCCTAGGTGAACACAAGCCTTTGTGCTTAAATGGAATTATTTAACAATTAACTTTGATACAGGGCTTTAAGTGACTTTTTCTTCCAGATGGCCTCAAACATATATTACATTGGTATACTTCATTATTATATATAGTATAACTATTTTTGTGTGTTGCTGTTTTTTTCTTTACATCAAGTTTGTGATTGGCAAAGACCGTGTCCCTATTTCGGCTAGTCTGTGTGACCAGTGATGCTGATTGGACAGCTAGGTTTAGGTGCCCAAGTTGAGTTGGAGTTCAAGGTATGATTTTTACCACCATGCAAGTTAATTTATGATTCTTGTTGTGCTTGTAGGTGGATCCCAAGAAAAGGATTTCGGTGAAGCATCTCTTAAACCATCCTTGGCTTCTGCAAGGATATAACTGTCCTATCGAATGGTACAGCAAATGCCCCGTGAGTCTCATTACATTGCACCAAAAAAAGTCTTAATTATCCAGATTCTGTTCTACTCCCTTTTAAAAAAGAGCTGAGTTCATTGCTGCTGATCTAGTGTAAAGACTGCCATATACAGATACCATCAGCATTGCATGAAAGAATTAAAGGCATATAATTGGCAGTTTTACCCTCCTTCAAAAGTCTGATATTAACCTGATATTAACTGTGCTTGAATTGAAAATTAAACACCCTCGAAGACCTGGGGTGCTTGTACCTTTTTTTTAATAGACCTTATTCTTCTCTGACAGGGAGAGAGTTCAAGCAGATAAGTAAAAAAAAAAATTATCTTGAATGGTAAGACCGTGTAGGAGTGGAGATTTTCACGGCCAATGCCCATTTTATAAATGGCTCTATTTGATGTATGTAAAAAGCAAAAGTGCCCCTACACATCAGATAAGCCAAACTACTTTGTGTTTTGTCCATTTGTAGGATTCTCTTAATGGCTATCTGTCTGTAGGGGACAGTTATCTGCTGCAAATGGTCAAAAGTGCTGGTTTTGCGGAGGTAATTTTATGTGCAGTAACTACTAGGGATATAACGATACTAGTATCTGCCAAAACTGAGTATTTGGGTGAGTACTTGTACTCTCCTTAATGCTCAGATACTGGAACTTCCGGTCAGAGGAGATCTCCCTATGACCGGCAGGGCAGATGAAGCATGGAGCTGGCTTCCTTTCCAGTCAGGAAGCCGGGTGGTGGGTTATGAACCGCCTCCCAGCTTCCTGATTGGCTAGGAAGCCGGCTTCACTTGTAGGTAGGCAACCTGGCCTCCTAACCAATTAGGAAGCCGGGCGGCACTTCATGTCTCGCGTCTGGTCTTCCTGATTGGTCAGAGAGCCACGCTTCCTAGCAACAAGTGAAGCCGGCTTTCTAGCCAATCAGGAAGCCGGAGGGAGAGTCATGACCTGCTGCCTGGCTTCCTGATTAGTCAGGAAGCCAGGCAGCCTCGGCAAGTGAAGCCAGGCAGCCTCGGCAAGTGAAGCCAGTGTTCTTGCCCTGGAACAACAGCTTCACAGGTAATCTTAAAGCCAGGCGACAGGGCATGGTCCGACTTCCTGATAGCAATACCAGTACTCGGCGAGTATCAGGAAAGAAAATATCTGTACTCGATACCGAAAAACCGGTATCTGTGCATCACTAACTACTTTGTCACTGCCCTCAAATTAGCATGATCTGGACTATTTTCAGGGGGAAGCTATGTGGATGATGTAAAAATACATTAGACAAAACAGAATAAGGGTCCTCCTCTCATCAAGCAATGTGCAAACATGGATTTAATGTATTGCAGCCCAAACATGTTAGAGAAATTCCTTAATGTTGCCGTGAAAAAGTTTAAAAAATAACCTGCCCTGCCCTATCGTACATTGAAAAGCATTTTTGTAGGAGAAGTTTCACTTTGCCATCATGGTGTTGCAAGCAGCAGACCGCAATATAAATGATTCCTTTGGCATAACATGTACCTAGAAAATGGAAGTATTCTGATATACACTTTTAACCAACACATTATACGAGGGAGTATCAAAAAGTAAAGGCAAAATATATTTAACAGCTTTATTTGAAGTAACTGTGAGCACTTGTGCATATCACTTTTCCACATAGTCCCCATGCAAGATGATGCACTTGTTATATCGTTTAACTAGCTTCTGTACTCCTGCAAAGAAGCTTATCGGCTGCTGCTGAAGCCAGGTGCGGTGTGCTTATTTTACTTCATCTGAGGTGAACCTTCCTTTTTGCTCTCTGGGTCGTAGTAGTGCACCCATGTCTCATCACAGATGACAATTCTCTCCAGAATACTTTGATCTTCATACCATCTCAAGAACTGGGTCACAACCACCACATGTTGTTGCTTCTGCAGAGCAGTAAGCTGTTGGGGAACCCATCGTGCACAGATTTTCCGGTATCCCAAGTCGGCCAACATCCAACAGTGATTTTTCCACTGGTTTCAGTCCCTTTGCCCAAAGAGCGCATTACAGCATATTGTTCTTCAAAGCTACAGTCTTACAATGAGGCCTCCATGTTTCTGTCCACGTGACTATCCCTCGACTAAAGTCCCAGCACTGTACTGAGCATGTTGAACTATCCAACAGATATGTAAATATGCTGCATTGCGCAAGCTTGTCTCTGTTCCGGTTACAGCGTAATTCATAAATTGCCTTTCCTTTTCGATTCTCCCTCCTAGAAAGGAGGAGGGATGGCCCAGACAGTAAAATCTTACTTTCCCCCTCACTTGTCTGCTTTGGCAGATACCTTTTTTCCATTTAAATCAAAGCTCCTGCCAAACCATTTAACACATGTTGATGTGTATAATGTGCATTTGACATGTGTTTCCATTGATTACAATGGAAATCATATTGGTGTAAATGGGTCCTAATGCTTAGGGCTGGATCCATGTGTTATGAGCAACATTGCTGGGCTTGACGCCTAGTATGTGAGCATGCTGCTGAAGCTGCGTGCCTCCTCCAATTTTCCAATCTCCATTGTTTAGTCTTGTCTATGCAAATACTAACCTCAAACGGACCCCTCCCTACTGCCTGTGGCTCTGTACTGATGTGTGCCATGAGTGCCAGCTGTAGAAATTCGTGAGCTACCCGTGTGTTCCTGAAACCTAACCTTGCAGTTTGGTGTGGACTTACCATTTGTTCTTTACAGAGCACTGGAATGTTGTTTTATGGACTTGTGTCAAGATCCTGGCTACCCATTTGATGCCTTCTTCCCTCAATATTATAATCCTGCTATGTAAATTGCGATCGCTAATCAATACAGCACAGTTTATATCCTTGCCTTTTATTTGAATTTGCATACAATAAGGTTCCTGAGCCGACAGGGTAAAGATCTTAATTTGCATGATCATAGAGTGCATATTGGATGATCTAAGGGTTAAATATTTTTCAAGCTTTTTTTCTTTTGTCTCCCCTTAGCTTGGCTACATGGATGAAGACTGTATTACAGAGATGTCTGTTTACTTCAAGCACAGCAAATCTACCATGTCAAACCTGATATCAGAGGTGTGTTATACTGGCCGCAGGGGGGAAAAAAAAGTTGCAATCCATAACTTTACTAGCCATTTATACACAAAAACCCATTAATTGGTACTCGAATTTACTTGTTTCAAACCTTTTTTTTTTTAGTTGTATATTATAGGACACAGGATGGTAATTCTGAAGCAATGGGTTATACTGCCACCTTCAGAAGTTTGGACACTTGCAAAGCTACAAGGACAGCCAAGTATAACCTCCCACTCACGGCAAGCCTTGTCCATAGGGGAACAGATGTCTTTTTGCTCAGCTCTTAGGGAAGCAAACCATTTTCTCTTTCCCTACCCCTCCCAAGCCTTTTTGCTTTGCAGTATCCTATCGAGGACGTTTCCTGGAAAAGTCGGCTGTCCGGTCCTAGAAACAGCTTTAGTCATAAAGTTCTGGGGTTGTAAGGCCCTGTCTGTGTCTTGTGTATTCATACCTGTTGACCGTTTTGTTTCCTATGTTGTCAAGTCTTCTAAAGGTAGCAGTATAACCCATGGTTTTAGAATTTCCATGATGTGTCCTGTAATTTATGCCATGAAAAGGATTTTTGCAGGTAATCTTCTTTTTTTTTTTTTTTTTTAAAGTTTGTGAGTCTAAAATGTTTTACATAAAATAAAGCATCTGTTTTCAGCTACTTAGTTTGTGGGTAAAAAGGTTTTCTACTTATCCGGAATACCCTATATTCAATAGGTGTATGAAAAAGAAATGGTACATACACATCCCTAGGCTGCATCAAAGTGCTTGCGATGTCTAAATGAAAACGTTGCCTTAGCTACCTGCTTAATTAACCAACTTGGGTGCCAAATCGTGCACTGGAACGGACATTCCCGATTCATTCACCTACTAAGCCACTGGTCCTATTTTTTTTCTCTGGTAATATGTGTTGCTCACAGAAGATAAAACCATGATGGCTTTAGGTCTTTTTTTCATCTAGATCTTCTTCTTTTTTTTTTTGTCTTGTCTTGCAAATCCTTATTCATAAAATATTTAATTGCAGTGGAATTATGATCATACAACAGCCACCTATTTATTGCTTCAACTAAAGAAAATTCGAGGAAAAGCAGTTCGTTTAATAAGTTCAGTCGTTGTGGAACCCTCTGCCTCCAGTTTTAAGGAACTTCAGGTAAGTGATCTTGTTGTGACAAACTTTTAATTGGGAGATTTCTGTTTTTAATACTGAATCGTTCCTCGTTCAATTTAATCTCTAAAACTTTTTTGGTATGTGTTTTGGAGTCCTCTTCTGGATCCATTCAGATTTTCCCTGTATGTGCAGCTATTGCACCCACCCAGGTCATGTAACTGCTGAATAATTCCATTAAGAAATAATAGGACTTGTTTGCCTCTTGAACCAGCATTTTAAGCAACAAACGCAAAGGATTATGTAAGGTATTTAATTGCCTTTGGCCGGAATCTAGCATTTTTTTTCCAATTTACATGAAAGAAGGTTATGCCTGGCAATGTGGGAAAGGAGGTCTGCAATTGTAGCTCCAAATTCCTCTAACTGGTTTATGTGAGACACAAAGGGATCACTGTCTAATATTTTATCCAAGTCCTCCTTTTTTTTTTTTTTTTTTTTCTTCAA